TGGATGGAAGGAGAAAGGCTGGAGTCAGGGCGGTCAGCTAGGAAGTTCATGGAGTAAGAGCTTGCACTGAGGTGAAAGGGACCTGAGTGGGGGAGGGGTGCAGCAGCAGAGCCAGGAAGTGAATAGGCGGAGGAGTGGCTACAATAGAAAAGGAAGTGACAGGGCCAGGCACCTCCTCCCTGGGCTTCGTGAAGGAGGAGTTAGAGGAAACACGATGATGTCCACACTGGAAAGCTGGAGAATGTCTGCTAAGGGGTAGAGAAGCTAAGGCCAGGGTTAGGACTCATGATAGTTAACTTTTCAACATGTTCAACGTGAGGATAATAGGAAGGGAGCCTAAGAGACAAGTTCCTATGAAGCAAGTGTTATTCTTTTGTTTAAACAGAAAAAAAGAGAAATGCTGAGACATGAGACATGTTGACTACAAGTATATTATAAGGCCCGGCAGAGTAGGGAGACTAAGAAGAGGAGAAGAACAGGGTAAATGGCTTACCGCCATGGCCGGTCGCCATAGAGAGGCAGAGAGAGAGCATAGGTGAGAGAGAGAGAGAAACATCGAGGAAGCAGAGAGAGTAAATGGGCAGGGATCTGTCTTTTTTTAAAGGGGTCCTCTGCACCTGCGTGCAGACTTAGTTCCTATGGAACCTTGGGCTGACCAGGGTACTGCCTGTTCCGCCAGGTGACCGGCAGGCCAGCATAATGCCTGCACCTTTCAGCAAGAAGATGAGCAGAAGGCAAAGACTATTTGTTTGGGTAGTAAAATTCCAGAACAGAGAACTGCAGCCTTATTTTTAGACAACCATACTAAAGAGGCCGGAAAAGGAACTTCTAGACTCAGTCTTGTTCACGTGCCCATCTTCTCACTTTGCCTTTCAAGTGTCGGTTCCCAGTAACAGGAACCTCTGACTTCCCACCCAACATCCACTTCTATGGCAGTCTCTGGTACACTCACAGTAGAGGTTCACTCATGAAGGTGGTTTGCTTTAATGTCTCCCTCCATAGAAAGACATATTTACAAAAAAAAAGAAAGAAACTGAAATGACCAAATGGTCCTTTAGTCAAAGGAATGTCTTCCCTGAAAATGAGATTGATTTCAAGCAGAGGAGGCTGAGGAGGAAGAACCAGAGTGGATATTTGAAAAAAAAAATGGCACTTGTTCCTGGCATGTTCTCCCTGCACATTTAAAAGCATGAGAAGGAGAAACAAGCAAACTGTCTGGTAAAAAGCTCGGTTATTAAATATAATCATTACCAAATAGTACTTTCAGAGAGCACTGACGTGTATGCTCTTAATGGCTAAAATGAGCTTGTATCTGGATTACACTACAGTTGAGAAGGAACAGTAATAAACACTCATCCCCATCTTCCAACCCATCCCCACTTCTTCATGTCCACTCCAGAACCAAAGAACCAAAAGCTACCATTAGACATGGACTGTCAGAAAAGTGAAAAAAACCACTTTGGCTTCTTTTGTATTGGCTGCAGCCATGCCTGACTCTGAACTTGTTGCAATGATAAAGTCAACTTTGAAGAACCATGATGATTGATGATATAGCATTAATAAAAAAGCAGAACTAGAAGTCAAGAGACCTGAGTTTATAAATCCCACCTTGACCACTAATCATTTTACTTTTTCTGAACCTTAATTTTCCCAAAGCAGAAGTTGAGCCAGATGACCTGTAAGGATTGGCCATTTACAAGACTCATCATTTAAGATAGGAGATCAGTTCCATCATTTCTTGTTTTTCTCATTCATTCATTAATGTAACTAACATTTATTCTGCCAGACACTGTTAAGTTACTGAGGGACCCAAACCTGCTTCTTATCTCCATGAAGCTTATAATTTGGGTGTAGGGAATAGATAACTAAGTAGATTAAATATTAACAAAGCACAAATCCACAATAAATTCAGAGACCTTAAAGATCTTATAGAAAGTAAATTCACCAGGCAGAAGGGGTCATGAGAAACCTCTTGATGCAGCAGTAATTAAGCTGAGTTCTAAAGGAAGACAACTGAACTATGCTCAGATAAATGTTTGCAACAATGAGAAAAAAAAAAGAGTATCCCAGGCAGAAAGCATAGCATATGTGAAAGGGCTGAAAGAGAGAGCTTGGCATACATAAGCAACCTAAAGGAGTTCATCAGGGCCAGAGCAAAGAGATAGAAGGAAAATGGTTAAGCACAAAGTAAGACTCATGTCAGTCCTGTAAAAGAATTTGAAATTTACCCTAAAGGCAATGGGAAGTCATTCAGTGAGGGACACCTGTTAACAAAATCAGTTTTACTAATCTAGAAAGTTCCTTCTGGCTGCAGTATGTGAAGAATAGACAGCAATTTGGGTAGTGGTGTAAAATAAGAGTGAGAAGCCAACATATGGGCAGAGACAGCAGCAGTACACGCCCACTCACACACACCCACAAAGGCATATGCACCCGCATAGGCACAGCTACAGACAAACTGCAGAAATCCTTTCCCCACTTCAACACCAGATGTCCCTAAAGTTGAAAGTTTTGCCAGTCTGTGAATTAAATGCGAATTAAGTGGAACTCTGGGAAAGTATTGTGTTTTACCTTTTCTCCATGTCTAATTTTTACAGAATGTTAAGTACCTGCCATCTCTGCAGCTATTATCCCAACACCCTATTGTAAAGCAAGGCAAATGGCAAACTAGGCATTCAAACTAGAATTAGACAAGTAATTACCACACGGCTATGTCAGGGACAGGGAAAAGGAGAGGGAGCAGGAGAGGGGAAATATCACAGCTGTCACAATGATTTTTCAAGAGTTTCAACTCCTCCAAAACATGAATGGAGAGAGAAAGAGAAAACTAGGCTTTGGTGACTGGGCGAAGACCTGAACTGAATTGCTGTGAAGTCACTGTACCGTTTGAGTAAGTCATGAGCCTCTGTTCTCTCATCTGTAAATGGGAGAGTTGGATAAATGAGTTCCTACAGTTTAGTGTTGCATGCATTTTGGGAAGTGCAGATATGATGCCCTCAATGACTGGCTGTTCATCTCTATCTGGGCATGTGGCTGTCTGTCTTTTATTGTTCTTGCCTCCCATGTAGTGAAGTCAGCAATTTTAAAACTTCTAAGGCCACCATTTTCTAGTCTCCTGTCTTTGGGGGATTGTCTGCTCTCCCACACCTCAGATTTCTCTTTTAGTTCTGGTGAGTTATGAGTCAGCCAAGCATTCCATCGTGCTGCCACTTATGCACTAGGCAGAAGACAAAAGCACAAAATGGATGTCACAAGCATGCCTGCTTACTTACAAGTCTGTCGCTCTGTCTGAAGCCATCCCACACAACCCATAGAGCACTCATTTGCAGGGGGCTGTCTCCTTGCTTCTTTCTCTCTCAAAGACACAGTGCTGATATGCTCTAGTGACATCCCATTCTAGAATATACTTTGTGGGGGTCCAACTTCTAAATTACTCTCCATTCAATCTGACAAGTATTTATTGAGTGCCTACTGTGTGCCTAGCACTCAGCAAGATTCTCCAGGGACTGCTGGGGTGTCTAAACAATACAGCCTAATCCTGCCTCAGCAGGGACTGAACATTATTGCAATGGCTTTGTTTGGAAGGAACGGCTGGGCTGAGGTTACAACGTGCAGACTTCATTCAAGTCCCTTGGCTTGGAAATGAGGCTGGATTTTCAACAAAAGTGAGGAGTTGAAATCACCATAAGGCTTTAATTCAATGCATAGTTTCATTTGAACCTTGAAGTTACCTTGTGTGCATGAGAGGGTACAATTCATTGCTTACCTTCTTCAGAAGGTTCCTCTTCAGAGAGGCTCAACATTTCTAAGATGTCATTAAAGCCATAATCTGTCACTTTTAGTACAAAACGCCCATCTACCACACAGTTCCGAGACTTTAGCCTTCCGTGAATAAATTCTCGGTGGTGTAAGTATTTCATGCCCTGCAGATGATACCACAAAATTTATTCAGGCACTCATTTAGCTGGATTATGCTTTTAGAGCCAGCTTCTATGATTGTTAATGGCATGGGTGATTATGATCCACAATTCAACCTTTTTCTCTTATTTGCAGGCAAAGCAAAGCTTTGACAGGATGTTTAGGTCTATTCTAACTCTAAAATGCTTGGCTTTGATTAAGAACCGTATCTTGTGTTTATAGAGAATTATGTGCTACTGGGAAATCTATTGACATTTCAAACACAAGATGGATCCATAGGCGTGTAATTGCCAGGAACTGGGAGATTCTGATTTGCCTCAACAGATTTCATGTAACTTTCAATCCATTATTAGCAGAAGTAGAAACTGGCATGGCTTTGAGGGTTGGGCAAAGCTAAAAAAAAATTTTACATAAGTATAGTTCTACTTCAGATAAAAACATGTATGCTTGCGTGTGTGTGTGTGTGTGTGTGTGTGTGTGTGTGTGTGTGTGTGTGTAAATAAAACAAGAAAAACATTCACTGCAGCTTTGATTTTATATAGTGTGTAATTGGAAACTGAGTATCAATAAGGGAGTAGCTAGATTTATCAGACATTCTTATCCTTGAATATTCTGTAATACTTACAAAGAATAAGTATGTACTTATAGTGATATAACTATAAACCAAATAGTAAGTACAAAATAGTGAGTTGCCAAGTGTCGTGATGTCGTATGTATTATAAACAAATACAATCGGTTTTAAAGTCTAGTTTCCAAATTTTTAGCAATAGGTAACTTCTAGTTGAGGTGATAAAAGGAAGAGGGTTAGATAAATGCCTATATTTTTTTACACACAGATTTGTAGCCATACATTTTAATTTAATGTACTATTTTTAAAGAAAAGAATAGCTAAATTGAGAAGAATGCTAGGCATTTATGATCTGTGGGATTGCTTGAGAGCCTTTACATGACATTCAAATGTGATGTACAAGAACTCTCCATCAGATGAGTTTAATCACTCGGCACAGAACTACATCTGTATTTTAGTGCAGTCATCTCAGAATTGTTGATGCCAAGTGTTTTTTTAATGAACTAGCACTGCTTTGCAGCCTGATACCTCTGTGCATTCTCATGCTTTCCATTTTGTGCTCCCAGGAAAGCTACAGTCATCAGTACTTCCAAGCCAAGTCTACAATGGGCATGTTTCTCCCAGGATAGCTGGTGCTTGAATATCACTCACCATCCGCCTGAAGGAGATTGTCATTTAGAGACCTCTCCCATAACTAGCTGGGTGTTGCTTACACTGTGAGTAGCAATAGCACTAGAATGGGAATTGGGAGATTTGCATTTGTATTAGCTGTGACAATGCTACCCATTGCAGCATTCTATTATCAGCTCTGTCACTTAATTGTCAGCTGAAAAATATATATTAAGAACCTACTACGTGTGCTAGATATTACAAAATGAAGACTGTCTCATGCAGCCTCCCTGAGCTTCTGGGGGTGGAGAAGGTTAATCATGGCCATTTTACAAAGTGAGAATGAGATAATGTCTTCCCCTTTCATACCTCCTTGAAAATGTTTAAGTTGCCATACACAACACATGGCTGTGATTAATGTGTACATAGCTCAACAAGTACTCAGACCAACTCCATTAAAATACATATACCCAGAGCTTTATGTCATCTCATAGAGTTCATTGGCTCTATAAAAGCTCATCCATGGACACTTGCATAAATTTGCATTGTGGTAGTCCATGGCACACACAACGGAGGTGCTGCCTTATATAATCACTGGACATTTGTGTTCCAGTGGTGAAGTCCCACATCCACACTTAGATATGCAAAGTCTCATCATCTAGCTCTAGTCTGTGACACCTTTTAGAAAATGAAATCCGGCACCAGGTTCTAAATGGTGTGAAAGGTTCTGGGCATGAGTAACTCCCTATATCCAGAGAAGTGGACTGTGGCTAAAGACAGAAGAGGACTTGATGGCAAACAGAAGAGAGGGCAACGTGACCCTCAGATTGAGAGAGAAGATGGGCAAATACTTTCTGTATCAATAGTCTATATTATGTATAGACAAAAGAGTGATGGGAGGGTAGAGAGTCAGGACTTGGGAGACAAGGTGGAGGACTAAAATTATCACAATAGCCCACGGGAAAGAAAGCATCTCCAAATCTTAAATTTCTAACATAAAAAAGTAGAACAAAAACAACACTCAAAATCTTTGTAAATTTTAAATCTATAAGGAAAATCCAAGACTCCCTTAAGTCTAGCCAGTAACCTTGATGAGGTCCAGCAGTAGTGATGATTTGAACATCCAATCGAGTTTCACATCATCATTAGTCAGTATGTCTTCTAGGCTCCTCCGAGAACAAAATTCTGTCACAATGGCAAACATCCCTGAATCACAGAAGAAGCCCAATAAAGGGTTGACATTCTCATGCCGCAGGTCTTTCATCTGCAAAGAAGACAGACGGAGAACAATCACAACTGTCTTCTTTCAGTGGCTGACTGTTGACTGTACTACACAAAAGGTACAAGAAGGACTGCAAGATGCCAAAATGAAGACCACCACTTTTATACAAACTGGGAAGAATGGAAAAAAAAGAGAAAACAAATACTATTTACACATTTACTTGGGATATGAGAAAATGATAATATGGTCATATGAGAAAAATAAATAAATACAATGTGCAGTCACGAGTCCCAAAAGAGCTCACACTCAGTGAAGAGTAATGGGAAAGTGATCTGAAGATTATATCTCATCATGTAATGTGTTTTAAAAGACCATGAGATGTTGAGTGAGCTCGGAGGTTAAATATCTCATCCAGACAGGCAGCAGGGGAGGCAGGTATCAAAGGAAGTTTCCAAATAAAAAAAACTGATAACTAGACTGTAATGAAGAACATACAAGAACTGACCAATTGACATGATGGAGGGGCAAGAGTCAAGGAAACTACAACAGGTTTAGTCTTCCCAGACTGCTATGCCATGGGGAGAATGTGAAATATCAAGGTAGAAAAATAGACTGGGGTCACAAACCATGGTGTGAATACCATAACTTCACTGCCTTGTGTCATATAATTTTATGGAAAATCCTGGGATGGAATTTAAATAACTATACTCTATTAATGTTCTATTAAATAGATATAAGAAAGGGAAAAGCACTTCTCCATAATCATTCTTGGATTCCTAGTTGGGTTTCTGAAAACACAGTGATGCTGTACACCAATACAGAAAATTTAAGGTGTAGTAGCAGGTTTTTTTTTTTTTTGGTGCTCTTCCACCAACTTCTTGTTTACTGTTTACTGTTCATCCCCCAGCTAGCTGCTATACATGGTAGCTGATAATTTACAGTCACCATCATCTCAAGAAACCTGCGCTATGACCTAGATCCACCTTACTTAGAGACTAGGTCCCACCCATAGACCTCAGGCAAAGATTCAATGGGAGAAAACACACGTTTTAGCCTCAATATGAAATCATGTAGTTTACTGTTGTTTCAGCATTTCCTCTATGCCAGTGGTTCTCATCCTTCCTAATGCTGCAACCCTTCAATGCAATAATTCCTCATGTTGTGGTGGCCCCCAAGCATAAAATTATTTTCATTGCTGCTTCATAACTGTAATTTTGCTACTGTTAAATAGAAATGTGAATATTTTCAGAGATAGAGGTTTGCTAAAGGTTGAGAACCACTGCTCTATGTGAGATCATAGTATAGCCACTCCCCAGCTAAGATCAAACGCTTATTTATCTTTTACCTCTGCTCTATTTGCTTCTTCTCTTATGTAATTTGAACAACAATTTCTATCTTAGGCTCAGGTTTTAGACAATCTACCAAGATAAATGAGAAATCAAACTTCACTCTGGAGAAAGCTAATAATGTCACACTGAAATACAGCACACATGAATAGCAAGTTGGAACTTCTCTTTTTAATTGCTTTTTTCTTTTTGAGATGGGGTTTCTCTGTGTAACCCTGTTGTCCCAGAACTAGCTTTGTAGACAATGCTGGCCTTGAACTCAGAGATTAACCTGCTTCTGCCTCCCAAGTGTTGGGATTAAAAGAGTGTGTCACCATGGCCCAGCTGGTTAAAAATGCCTTAGAGTGGGGTTTAGATTTGAGGAAACAGTCCTGAACTGAGACCAGATGACTGGGAACTTGAAGTGTGTAAATGGTAGATAAATCAAAGTGTACATGAGATTACCTAAGGAAAGTGTGTAGAAGAAAGAGAGAAAAAAGGAAATTATATCAGTACTTAAAGGATGGAAAAATGAAAAACAGCCTACATTTAAAAATACTAAAAAAAAAAACCCTTAGAGGTGATGCCATAGAAATACAGGAAGTTGTATTTAGACCAGTATCATTAGTACTATAAGACACAATTCATAAAAATAAGAATAATATCAGAGAAGTCGGGTATCATGAAGAAAATGATAGTTTACTTAGCCATTACATTTATTAATTATAGAACAGTACTATGCAAACATGTTTACACAGAAATATACATAAACATACACATATGTGTATGAGTTTAATCTCTGCATCTGCACATAAAACTAATTATAGACCAAATTACTTGAAAAAATTGCACTTATACTGAACATGTACAAAGCTTTTACTTGTTATTCCCAAAACAATACAGGAATTATGCACATAGAATTTACATTATAATAGACATTACAAATAATCCAGACACAATGCAAAGTATATGGGAGAGTGTACATTGTTTGAATGCAAAGTATTGTTATATTTTATGTAAGAGATTCAAGTATTCATGGATTTTAGTATCTGAAACCAATCCCCTGAATATGTTAAGCACAACTCTCTGGTCATATATAATTACATATATGTAAGTGTGCACATGCTCATGTATACACGGGTTTAGAATGGTAGCGACACTGAGTGACTAGAAACAGACTAGGTCTTAGATGTATAAATGTCATGAGGTGAGAAGTGAAAGAAAGAAGTCAAAGATTATCATATGGAGTATGGAGAAGATGCCAGTCCATTTGCTAGCATGCATTATACTATATGACCTTCAACAAGATGGTCTGAGGCAGAATTAAGTTAATCCTTATGGGAATTGACTAACTCCTTTGCCTACCAAGCATAAAAGCCTGATACCCATGACAATTATTAGTACACTTCAACCTAAACCAATTAAAGAAGACATGAAAACTCACTTACATATAGCAAATTAAGCATCTTCTTCTAAGATTTCATTCTCTATGAACCAAACAACTGAAACTACTGGACTCTGGAACTGTATTAAAAAACTAATTAAAACTGAATAGGAAAATAACCTAACTCACATTCCCTAGCCTCTGCTGAAGCTAAGCATAGCAATATGAATGAAAGCTAAGCAATAGAATAAAAGAGAAGGGATATGTTCTATTTCTAGGTTAAGGCTTTTAAGAAGAAAATAAACTCTATTGCATATTATTTTTCCAATTCTGTGGACAAATACGTGTTTTTATAAGGACATAAAACATAGTAAAGCCTTAAGATGGCTATAGCCTGGGTTTCTGAACCACCATATTGGAGGGTTACCTGCCAATCAAGAATACCAGTCATTTGTTGCTGATTGAGTGAGAATTAAATTTATGCAATGTTTAAGAGATCAAATGCAACCAACTGGCATGAAGGAGCCCATTCCCTATGGTGGGATACCTTGCTCAGCCTTGATGCAGGGGAGGGCTTTGGTCCTGCCTCAATTTGGTATGCCAGACTTTGTTGACTCCCTACGGAAGGCCTTACCCCCTATAAAGAGTGGATGGAGGTAGAAAGTGGGGAAGGCAGGGGGCAGGAGAAGGTGAGAGAGGGGGAACTGGAGTTGATATGCAAAATGAAAAATATTAATAAAAAGAGATTAAATGCCCCAGGTGTGATGCCATACACTTTTAATCTCAGCACTCAGAAGACAAAGCAGGCAGATCTCTGTGAGTTCAAGGCTACCGTGGCTACATAGCAAGTTTCATGCCGACTAGAGCTATATAATGAGAACCTGTCTCAGAAAACAAAGCATTAAAAGGCCAGGGTTATAGCTGAGTGGTTGGCCACATACATGCTTTGCTAAGTTCAATCAATCCCCCAGAATGAAAAGGCATTAAATATTTGGGAGCATAGTTGTTATAGCATCTAGCATTACACTAACAGTCATAGCACAGGCATATTTTACACCTACATTTCTGCCTGAACTTTACAACCATCCATCCTCAGGTGTAAACATAAGAGAAGATCCTGTGTTGAATATGGATAGATACATACATGCAGACATGTCCTGCAGAGACTCTGAATAAGATGGAGAGAAAGTCTGGAACACTTTCACAAAGTGAACAATTACGAGATAGACATATACTTCACCTCTTCCATAATTCTTACTTAGCTGTCTACCATGAAAATTACAAGGGTCCAATGAGCCTTGCATCAGGATATTTGTTATTTCCCTATCTGACATAAAACCTTTAAGCTTTCAATACCAGAGATACCTGCTTCTGAGTCAAATACTAACCCATACAATCTTAAATACTTCTTTGGCCAATTAAAAATGGTTCTGAAATATGACAACATCAGAATTAATCCCACCCACCTTCTCTCACACCAAGTATTATTAAATTATCCACTGATACATATTGCAAGGTTTTTCTACCTCTATTGGCTAATTGGCTTAACATGTCTTTTTCTAGCATTTTATTTTGTTTTGTTCAGAGTTTAACTATTGTTCATATTTCTGTATCAAACTATCTACTGCTTACCACCCAGAAGTCAATAGTCATACAGAACATATTATTAAGGTACTGTAAATGGAAATTTTGGGGGGATTATTTTCTCTTAATTATTTTAATAGTATTGTTTATGCACATGCACGCATGTATGCATGTGTGTGCATATGAGAGCACGGGTGTTAAGGCATATGTATGTGAATTCAGGTACCCCCCAGAGGTCAGAGACATTAGGTTCCCTGGATCTGGATTTACAGGTGGTTGTGAGCCACCTGATATGAACACTGGGAATCAAACACATATTCTCTAGAAGAGCAAGACAGGCTCTTAGCCTCTTAGCCATCTCTCCAGCTTTTATACTAATAATTATATGATCTAATACTACTAACCAATATACTGCAAGAGCCAGGGGCCTTTTTGAATGTTTTTAAAAGTATACATTTTTTATTTATGTGTATACATATTTGTAAGAGTGCATGACACATGTGTGTGTGTGTGCCCATGAAAGCCTGTAGAGGGTAGCAGATCCTCCAGAACTGGAGTTACAGATGCTTATGAGCCACCCAACATAAATGCTGGGAAATGAATTAGGGTCCAATGGAAGAAAAAGCCATTACTCTGACCTGCCAAGCAATCTCTCCATTCCTGAGACTTTTAAAATTTTATACTCCTGTTCCCACATCTTTCTAGCAACATTAGGAATATATTTGAAAATTAGGGGAAAAATTAAAATTATTGCAAATAGTAAATGTGTTGATAAATATAAACAATGTATTTTAATTGTTTTAATTTCTATAAAATACATATGAACGTTTAAAGTAAAAACTGACCCTTTATTATGTGATTCATAGTATACATGAAGGTAATATACATTCAAGCAGTAAAGCAAAGAATGCAGACAAGCTAAAAGAGCAATGTGTTTACAAATTTCCCATGTTTGGGATAAAGTAGTACAATATTAACTCTAAGTATATTGTGACAAGTTCAAAATGTATTCAGGACTTTCAAGAACAATTACTAAAAATAAAAATTCAATGATGTATACCTAAAATGCCAATATAAGAAGCAAATTGAAGTCCCTCCACATAATTTTAGCTCAAAGGAAGGCAAGAAAAATGAACAAAATAGAACAAACAGAGAAATAGATGAAATGGAGGATAAATAGCAGACCAAACTCTGAACTGTTTCAACTGGTACCTCAATGTACTAAGTCAGGTTGTATAACAGTGGGGAAAATGCCAAAACAATGTATGCTGTCTGAAAGAAATGAACATTAAAAGCAAAAAAAATAGATTGAAAGCAAAAAGACAAAAAAATAGACTACACAAAACTGAATGAGAAGATGAAGTCGCTATATTATTATTGAATAAAATATGTCAGGAAAATAATTATTTCCAGAGTTCAAAGAGAATATTGATAAATAAGTGAATAATGATAAAAATTAAGACCTCACTTCCATAAATGCACATGTGTAGCTATGGCCTGGAGCTAACTCATACTGGATCTGAGGAAGAAAATTTTACAGAATTCTTTCAACTCTGTGTCTGGTAACATTACATAGGTAGGTTAAAAAAGAAAAAAACTCATAATGGAAGTATTTATAAAACAATAATCACAAAATATTCAAATTTAGGTATTTTTTTCACATAGAAACTGTTGTAAAGTATTTACTAACACACGGACATGTATACCCTTAACATTAGAGTACCAATGTACACAAAGAAAAAAGTCATAGAATTAAACAGTAGGAAAATTTTAATAGTAAATGAAAAATATATTGACAAGAATGTAGTAAGAATTTTTAAGATCAAAAGTGATCCTATCAATAAATCTTTCTGATAAAAATATTCAAAAAATCCTAAGTATCATCCAGTAGTACTTTAAAAGAGTAGTATGTAGTGAACGAGTGGAATTTATCCCAGCTATATTAAAGTATTATTCAATACTTTTTTCTTATCTTAAAGCAATGTACCTTACTATATTAACAGAATAAAGGCATAAACAACTATTTCCACAGGTAAAAGAAGTTGTTTTGAGAAAACTACACAATAAAAATTCTAGACAATCGGAAATAGGAATGTGTGTGTGTGTGTGTGTGTGTGTGTGTATGATTTGGGGGCCAGCCTGTACTACAAAGTGAGTTACAGGCCAGCCTGGGTTACTGAGTAAGATCCTTTCTCAAAAGGAAATGGAGGAAACTATTTCTGTAGATTCAAATTATTTAAAAATCATGTACTAATTACTGTGGAGCAAAGTGCCTCACTGGTGAGAAAGCTTTATACCCTAAGTTAACATCACCAACACCAACAATAGGATAGTTGACATTGTGTATCTCCTGGATAACGTGCACAAGAAAGACTGCATCACTCCAGGGATTATCTGGCTAAAGATGCACAAAGCAAACCTGAGAATATTAGGCAAACCCAGGTAGAGGGTAAATTTACCAATAACTGACCAGGATTCTTCAAAAAATATTAAGGTGAAGAAAAAGAAGTCTGAGAAGTTGTCATATTAAAGGAACCCAAAGAAACACACAGCCAGCTACAATATGGGAACCTATAGTGCAAACTGACATGGGAAGAACTGCATTTTAATTGTATTAAGACAACTGATAAAATTAAAATATGGGCAGTAATTTAAATAAGAGCATTGTATGGATGTTACATTGTCTGATTTTGATCATTGTGCTATAATGAAGTATAAAAATGCCTTTGGTCTTAGAAAACACATGCAAAAGAACTTTAAGGTAAAAAGACAATGTCTGCAACTTACTTTCAAATGATTCTGAATGTATAAGTTGATCAAATAGACAACTGAGCAAACTTAAGCAAATGCTAAATATAAGCAGACTCTGTGACAGTCCTCTGAAAGATTCTTGAGGGTTCTTCCATAAAAAATGTTTACTGCCAAAATTAAAACTACACACACACACACACACACACACACACACACACACACAC